AAGTTAGTTGAAAATGCATCAAGATGAATAAATTATCTCTGTGATTGACGCCTGAAACCACTAAAATGTTTGGAGGTTGAGCTCAGATAAATAATTTTTTTTCACTTTGAAAGAGGGCGTTTTCTTTCAAAACATGCTATATGCCCTTAATTTTTATTTATTTTAGACCCTGACGAAGACATTCTAGATCTAGCAAGAACGCACGGTAAAGCAACGTACGTTGATACGGTGTGTTTGGGTGAGAACTCTGCAATACAACATGCGTTATACGCTGTACAGAGAGGCATGGACTTGGGACACTGGGTGATCATCAAGAATGCTCATCTGACCGATTACTGGCCTCAGGAATTCTTAGAAATCCTTCAGGTACTATATCTCTCTTTAGTCGTCTCACTATACCTTTTCAGCTTTGGTACACTGTTTTGTTATTCACATAACGTGGGATGATTTCTTTGGAAAAATAGATTCCTTGTTCAGGGGCGGCGGAAGCTAAAAATCTTCGGGGGCACTGCAAAAATCTTTGGGGGGGGGGGGCACTGAAGATTATATTTAACGCTATGTGATAATGACAATGTTTTGTTTTATTGCAAAGGTATGCGCCGTAAAAATCAATGCTCTAGTGGACGATACGTGGTCTGTAACGTCCCCTGAGATTGGTTAGGTTTAGGGGCGGGGTTGTTGGGGAAAGGTCATTGTTTTCTATTATTCTACACATGTGTGCCCTCCAATAGGATCACATTTTGCAAATTCGTGAAGGACGACCCAACGCAAAGGGTGAAAGGCTATGCTTGGATTCAACATGCAAGGTGTATTGTGGTCTAGCATGGGTACAAACACTTTTGGTTCAATATACCTTATATGGTGTTGTTTGTAACAAAGCTAACCTTGAGTTTATGTAACTGAAAAAAGGTCTTTGCAGCCATTATTTGGCAGTTTACTTTCTAAAGGCTTCATCTTTATGATCATTTCGTTAGGTAATAACCAGTACGCCACAAATCATCGAAGAACGTGAAAAGGAAGGAGAATGGTGCGAGGACTATGAGTCCAGAACCACTCAATCCAGAAACCAAACTTTGGTTCACCCCGACTTCCGTCTATTCTTTACTGCGCGTGTCGACTCTGGAAAACTTCTTCCCGCGATTCTCATTCAGCGCGGGCTCAAGCTTGCTTGTGAATCGAAAACTAGCTTCCGATCAACCATAAAACAAGCTCTACAAGTGGAGGCTCGTAGTATTAACAGCTGGTCTTGTCACTGGAAAGAAACTGTTTTCAAGAGCAACAGTTTGAAGGTATTAAAAAATACAGAACACTTACACCATTTAGAAGTTGAAATTTACCAAATAATGTAATATTTTACTCATATTTGATTCTTGTCTTCCAGAGCGACGTGCCCCAATATGCTATGTACGCTCTTGCTTACTGTCATTCATTGTTGCTCTGCCGCCGCCAGTATGGGTCATTTGCTTTCACGTGTCCATATCAATGGTTAGTCTTAAAACCCTGTATTACAGAGGCACAGCCTTACAATTATGCCCATTCTTACATCTTGGTAGAAAGTCACTAACAGAATCCTTTTCGCTGTTACGTTCCTTTAATTACGACTAAAAAGAAATAGAAGCTCTCTTTCCTTTTTGCAACAAAGAAAAATTGTTGCATTGTACTCGTGCAACACGAGCAACATTCGCTCTGCAACATTCGCTCTGCAACATTCGCTCTGCAACATT